TCCAGCCCCAGTCCTCAACAGTTTCTCAGAAAATTTTAAGAAACTTGAAAAGTGTTGCGACTTTGAGATTAGAAAGTCCTTTGCATATTTTTATTTCACCCAGCTGCTCTTTCCAGAACGGTCCATCCCGCTTACCCTCAACCCAGCCATCTTTGCATGATCTATTTCTGTTCCTCTCCTCACCTCACCTCGGGGTGTGGGGAGGTAGAGACTTCAAGACAGACAGTTTTCCAAAAGCTAAAATTCTTCCCTTCTCACAGTCTTCACTAGCCAGTTTTAGGGTCATTTTCTTCTGTCCTGGATTCTCATACCTGATTGTAAAGATTAACTCCCAGGCTGGCTGGCCACGACCTGATACTGAATGGGACGACTTTGTGTGGCGATGATAGGGACACCTCAGGGAAGATCTGGACAGCACCCAGTGATGTCTGCAGAGCTGGGAGTACCTCAGCCGTATTTCCACCCAATGAGGAAGCGAGGAAGAGGCCTCTGACCCTGCCTGGGTGAAGTTCTTATCGGCCCAGGGCAGCAGCACAGATCTGGACAGCAGAAAGAGCAGAGCATCTTCGCCAGCTGTGTGTTCAGACATACCCGGCCAGAACGTGCCTCCCCGCCAAAACACACCCCACTGCAACACCCACACTCCACAAAAGGACGCACTCGGGATGTACCACAGTAAGTGCGTGTTAACATCTGCGATGCACCCATGCTCCCCACCTCTCTCCCCCCCACCCCCCAAGAACATCACAGCCTGCAATCACGGTCAGGTGCGTACGCTTCCTGAGGTGTCTACAGCCCTCCTGCCGGCACCGACACACGCACACTCACACGCAGGCACAGACCCACAAGCCCTACACTGCTTGGCGTGGGAGTGAGCTGATGTCATCCTCCAAGAATATCTCGGCGCCCCTCTGCCTCAGCTTGGCTTTACTAGGCCTTGGGTTTCTATGCGGTCAGGAAGCTGGGAAGTAACCTTGGCAACCCAGCCAAAGCCCTTCAGGCCCAAGAGAGCTGAGAAAGACAAAGGACATTTACAAACCTTCTGGTGGCTTCTGACAGGGCAGTGGCAGAGCAGGGGGGTGTGAGATGACATCACAGACAGGGCCAAAGTTGAGACCCGAGGAGAGGGGCCCATTCTAGGTAGAGATTTAGTTGGAGGAGAGGGCATTTGTGATGCTGTGGGCAGACTGGAGTGGCCATACAGGTGGGGCATGCAGGTGGGTGAGGGGACCTCCAGGCTCACAGTGATCACATGGCACAGAAGTTTCTGGTTCAGATGAGGCACTCTGGTCTACCTGGCACTACCTGGTGTGGATGGAGTCTCAGGTCAACTCAGGATAGCGGGGTATTTAATGTTCAAAATTCAACTTAGGGGCCTTGTCAGGAAGGGAGGAGATGAGTGAAGAGGAAGTGGAGGAAGAGGAAGATGAGACAGAGAGCAGAAAGAAGAGGAAAACAGGAAGGAGGAGAAGGATCCTCTGTCCTTATCCTGATCCTCAAGCTCCATCAAGGAGAGGGAGCAGGCCACACCTGGGGGGAAGAAGTGAAAGCTTTGATCTTCTAAGGATCCTGACTCTAACAATTTAAGGGCAGTTTCAGGACATTTCAAAAATAATTTGGACTACTAAAATGTATTTAGCCTTATGAAAAATTGGTTGGGGGCCTCCCTGGTGGCCTAGGAATTAAGCTCAGCACTATTGCCACTATGACTTGAGTTCGAACCTTGGCCAGGGAGCTGACCCACATGGCGCAGCCGACCTCTCCTGCTGCTCCCCTCAGCAGTGTATTTCAGTAGATTCACCTGTTCTGCTCCCCACTTCCTCTCTGGTGAATCCTCAACACCCTCCACCCCCCCATACCTCTGGCTGTACCCCAGGTCTTCTATGCAATAAATAAATAAACAACTAAAAAAAAAATGAAACTGGTTGAGAAATCAAACCCTCAGTTGGATACAATGATATAGTAATGTGACTTGGAAACTTTGACTGAAGGGCAAATTAAGGTTTGTAAGTCAAAAGAAAAGTGAAAAAGAAATAAAGTTCTTATTGATTATTTATGGCCTGTTATAAAGTTTGTGAATTAATCACCAATTAATGGGCGTGCTGGGGGACTTCTTACTCTTGTTCCAGAAATGTAGACTGTTTCCTCCTATTCTGACCATCATCCTCTGGAATAACCTCTCTGTGGGACCCTGTGGGAAGTGGTCATTGTTTAAAAAAAAAAAAAATGCACATCCTATGTGGCATCCACACAGCAGCTGGTCCCAGGTCTGACTGCTGAGAACCAGTCACGTGACTTGATGAGCCATACGAAACATAAGAGAGGACAGAGCTCTGTTTCCTAAGACAGAGAACGATAATCGTCGATCAAAAGACTTTTCATCAATTCTGGATTAAAACAGACCAGAACGCGGGAACCAATGCTACCTAGATACTTGTGAAGTGTTTCCCTGTCCCTTGGCCACTGACCTTGGTCAGTTCTGGTCCTGCCGACACTTAGTGTCTTTGCTTCGATTACCTTGTTGCTAGCCCCAGTTCCGTTTCCTGTAACAACTCGTTTCCTCCTCAAGAAGCAGATGAGTCTCACCTTGTCCACCCAGCTTCCAGGGAGAAACAAGGGCAATGTCTGAACTAAGGAATAGTGCGGAAGTGTTAGAATTCCTGGGCCTTTTGGTGAGCTGAGCTATGTGAAGCTTTGGCGCAGGCTATTTGAAATCTGTCCTGGAAATACAGGACAGGTGACTGTAGCAGCCTGGCCACTGTTAGTTGAGACAAGATGTCAAACTCTAAAGAGCTGGCTGCCAGTGACAACAGGTGACACACGCTCATGGGTGGGATGGCGAACATTAATTCTGCAATGGGAGAATGGTTAGCACAGTCCTCGTGGTAGAAGACATTGCTTAAACTGTGCTGTTGGAAAGTGGGAAGCTGAGAGAGTGGGAAGGAGGCAGTAGCCAGGAGATGAAGGAAATGGCCTCTATTCAGCAAGGTCAGGTATGGAATTCAGGCAGCCACGGTATGGGGACCATGTTACAGTGCAGGCCTGGGGGCCACAGGCAAAGTGGCACAGGCCCTGGGCTACAGAGTTGTGATGCTTACAAAAAGGTGAGAGGAATGATCCTATAGCGAGAGTAGCAGAAAGTTGAAAAGGTAGATGGGGGTCACATTATGGGAGGTCTTAATTGTTAAGCACTGGAGTCTAGTTTTCATGCAATAGACAAGTGGACGGTAGAAATGGAGATGGAGGGAAGCTGGCTTTGGAGAAGACACAAAGGTGATGGATGGACATTCAACAGGTAGGACAGGGCAGGAAGGAGACAGGAGCAGATGAAGACATGAAGACAGACTAGCAAACGTGAGAGCCAAGTGTAGAAACAGTGTTCCACAGGAGGGTCTCTCTGAGGGGAGAGTGGAGAGAACCAGGAAGAAGAGGGAGAGGGAATGGGAGCCGGGAAGGATCTCAGGGGGGTGGGGGGGTATACAGGAAGGAGGCAGAGAAGCCTGGGGTACCCGGTCAATGGAAAGAAGGGAGGCTATGCCAGAAGGTGATCCGTGGGGTCCTCGATCTAGGAAGACAAGAATTTCCAGAGACCATTGGGTTTGGTTTACTGCACATCTACACAGATGTTAAGCATCTGTGACCTCCAGCCCCAGTGATGTTGGTCATAAGCGATCCCCACTCACCAGACACAGCATGCAGGTGACTGGGCCAGACCCAGTACTGAGTGCCTGAGGTCGATTCTTTCCCCTTTAGGAGCTGGTGTTTACTCATGCCTCAGCCCAAATGAGGAAGGTGGAAGAGGGCAAGAGCAAGAGAAAAGATGGGGAAATGTGGACAGTTGATAGAGGACTACTTATTCCACACTTTTGGCATTTATACAGGTGGAGGGGGACAAGATGGGGACCAGGAACATTGGACAATGGTCTCAATTAAAAAATATTATAGGGACCCTCCTTGGGGGCACACCGGGTTAAAAGCACAGCACTACGAAGCTATTGCAGCACCAGTTCAATCCCTGGCCAGGGAGGTGATCCACATGGCACGGCAGACCTCTTCTGTCTTTCTGCTGCTCCTCTCAGCAGTGTATTTCAGTCAATCTGCCTGTTCTGCTCCCCACTCTGCCTCTGGTGAATCTTCTCAACCCCCGCACCTCTGGCCTGTACCCCGGTTCTGTATGTGTAAATAAATAAATCTTTAACAATATATTATATATGTATGCATATGTGTATACATATACATCCCTCCCAATCGCCATTTCTATATGAGTATACATGGATATTTAAAAGGAAACCGAGAACAAGACAGAAGAGTTTTGCAACACCTCCCTCATCACCACCAAATAGGTGAGACTTGCATGTTTTTAGGCAAGAGAAGAGCAGAACTTCCGAGGGCGGAGAAATTATTGAGGCAGCAAATTAGACTTCACCCCATTTCTGAAGAGCCAAAAGGAACCATTCCGACGAGTTAAGAAACTCAGCAGAAGGGTAAGATTAGGTGACAAAGTGTCTGGAAGAGCTGGCTCTGACAATGTGTCTGGAAACTGTAGGAGTCAGAAAAGGGGCCCCCTACTGAGCGGTGGTATTAACCAGGACTTCTTGGAGGAGGGGGCTTCTAGCCTCCCATCATGGGCAAAGAGGAGAGGACCGGGGATTATTTCCAATTTAGAGTCTACCCGGCGTCGCTCTCCTTTACCGACATTTCCTCCCCGGCTCCCCTTTCTCCTCCGGTTCCCCTCGACCCGGGAGCCGGCTCGGGTTCCCAGCACTGACGTCAGCTGACGATGACCTCAGCGCAGAGGAGGGGGCGGCGGCGGGGGCGAGCGCGGGGGCGGGCCGGCGGCGGGCGCGCGTTGGGTGGGGCGGCCGCGAGTTCCCGCCCACATCCGCCGGCGTCAGCCAATGAGCACCACTGCCGACGCGCCCGCCTCTCAGAAAAGTATAAAAGGCGCGTCGGGGCAAAGTCCGAACAGACTGAGCCCCGGCGGTGCGGGTGGAGGAAACCACAACCTCAAGTCCCACCGAGGACCCTTAGCAGCTCCCCGCCGCCGCCACGACTATGAGCCAAGCCCGCTGGTCGGGAGAAAGAACGGACATGCTCCCGGAGATCGCCGCCGCGGTGGGCTTCCTCTCCAGCCTCCTGAGGACCCGGGGCTGCGTGAGCGAACAGAGGCTTAAGGTTTTCAGCGGGGCGCTCCAGGAGGCACTAACAGGTGAGCGCGCTCTGTCGATCCTGGCACGCGTCGAGTCCTACCACTGCCTCGGCCCCTCTTATTTACTGTGGCGTCCCTTCCAGGGCAGAGACCCCCCGCGAGCCGACTCGTAGTCCCCCTTCCGCTCGGGTGTCGGGGGTCAGTGGGTCTGGTTGGACGCGCCCTGCACGCTGTAGCTGGCGCAGACCCTTGTCCCGGAGTGCGATCCCGAGTCCCCGTCTAGAAAGAGGGGCCAAGTGCCGTGTCCTCTCCCTCGCCAGACCCTAGGACGCCCGAGGGACGCTGCGGGCTAAGAAACCCGTCTGGGCGAGGGGTCCTTGGGAGAGGGCGGCGCAGTTGAGCGGTCTTCACTTGGAGTTCAGCGGCTGCGCCTTTGCCTCGTCGGGCTTGGTTGATGCCTAGCGCAAAGTTGGGATCTGGGCCCCCTTAGCCATCTGCCACCTATTATGATACCAGAAGAGCCCTATAGTTAGTAGTGGCTAGAGTTTGTTGGGGTGGGGGGTGGGAAGGGGGTGGTGTGAGACCTGGGAGGTGAACAGAGATAAGCAGTCGCTGGCTGGGGACAGTCCTATCTCCCAGCTGTTTCTAGCCAGTGAGCCAGCTGTCTGAGCCAGCGATGGTCATCGCTGAGCCAAGCCCACACAGATCCTTGTCTTAAGGACCTTTCAGCAAGCCCGTTTCTTGTTTTGAAGGAGGCAGGTGGAGCCGCTGGGGCGTAGGGTGGGTAATGCAGTGACTTGGTGTGGACCTAACCAAGCGCAGCCTTCCTGCCTGGAAACCTCTGTTCCTAGGTTTGCCGGGGCCTTGCCTGGGCATGTCAGCCCCGCTCACACCCCTTCCTCCTAAAGTGGGGACGTGACCAACAGTGTGTGCGCTGCGGGGGAGTGCCCAGAACTCTGGGGACCCCTGCCAGTGCACACATACCTCTTTTTCAGAAGGGGTATGTGTGAATGTGAGGGGGTATCTTTCCAGACCCCATAAAACTTTCTCTGCTTTTGTGTTGGGCGGGTTTGAGCAGAGCACTGGAACTGGGGAGAAACTGTCTCGCTTGCTTGAGCTCACTGGGCTCCTTCCTCCCCCATCTGTGGCTTTGTGAGGGCATTCAAGGCCCCCTGCTCTAACCCGGGCATCCCCCCTTGTCCGGTCTCCACAGAACACTACAAACACCACTGGTTTCCTGAAAAGCCGTCCAAGGGCTCGGGCTACCGCTGCATCCGCATCAACCACAAGATGGACCCCATCATCAGCAAGGTGGCCAGCCAGATCGGACTCGGCCAGCCCCAGCTGCGCCAGCTGCTGCCCAGCGAGCTGACCCTGTGGGTGGACCCCTACGAGGTTTCCTACCGCATCGGGGAGGACGGCTCCATCTGCGTCCTGTATGAGGAGGCGCCGGTAGCCACCTCCTACGGGCTCCTCACCTGCAAGAACCAAATGATGCTGGGCCGGAGCAGCCCCGCGAAGAACTACGTGATGGCGGTCTCCAGCTAGACCCCGCGCCCGGCCCCACTGTGCTCGCTCCATGGGACGACAGCCCACTGCATACCTCAACCTGGGGAACTGGATTTTAAATGAAGAGCTATTTATATATATATTATTTTTTTTAAGAAAAGGAGAGAAAAAAACCAAAAGATTTTTCTAAGAAAAAAAATCCTTAAAGGGAGCCACTTGGAAGCGGCCTCCCCAGGTGCCTTGGAGAGAACTGTTGTGCCATTGAGTCTGGGAGTCAGTGTCTGCCTGTGGGAGCGGGAGGCTCCGGGGTGGCCGCCAACGTGTCCGTGAGAGAACTTGGCCAACACCCAGGGAGAGGGGAGGGGAGCAAGCAAGGTTAACAGCTGTGAATGAGAGTGGCGGGGTCTGCCCTGGCTGGGGGAGAGCCTGCGTTCTGGCCTCCCCCTCCAGCCAGGAGCCCACACCCCTGACCTTCTCTTACTCAGGGGCACTCAAGCCTGGATTTAAAACCATACTCTGTTGCCTAATCTCTTTTCTTTTTTCTGATGAGATCCTGGGCAGAACGTGAACAGACCTCTCCTTATTCCTTCTGTCCTAAAGCAGCTTCTCTGGAAATCATCACTTGTTTCTAACTCTGTTCTCAGGGGCCTGCGATGTGGCTTCCTGGCCAGGCATCTGGAGGGTGCCATGGGCGCCAGGCTGGGGCTGGAGGCTGTCAGGGTAGCTTGGGAAGGGTTCTCTGCATAGGGCCTTTGCTCCGCTACGTGCTGCTGTGCGTTTGTGTGGTGAATAACTTGAGGGTGATTTGCCGTGGGCTTTGGAACCCAGAAAGTATCCACTGGGGATGTTTTTTGGCCCAAACCCTCCTTTCTGGAACCATGTGTAGGCCCGATGCTGCTGCCACCATCCCTTTGAGAGGTGGCTCAAAGCTCCAGGGACTCCACATCCTTAAGACTGCCTCCTTCCAAAAGCACAATACTCCAAACGCCTCCTCTCCCTTCTGGCTGGGTCACGGAGCTACCCGAATTTCTAGGACAAGAGTCACTGTGCAATATGGCCTCTGAGGTCCCAGGAGGGTCTGGAGGAGAACTAGCTCTCAGAACATGCTGGAACCCTGGCGGCTGAGGGAACCATCTCTTCCCCTGCTCTCGGGACCATGGCTGGCTGGTCAGCCTTGCGGGTGTTCCCCTGGCGGAGGGGGAGAATGCCCCAGGTTCTGCAGGACTACCTGGTATTCTTGTAGGGCTGACACGAGAAGCCTGACTGGGCATTGATTTCTCTCCGAGGTGCTCAGAGCACCCGGGGAGGTGGTGTTGTCTCTCTCAGTACAATCCAAATTTGTCTGTAGACATGTGCAATATTTACTGTTCTGGTTTGGAGAAAATGGAAAACTACACTGGGAAGATACCCCCTTTTTCAGTTTCTCAGTGACTCTAGTGAGGGGTCCTGAGAAGGCCTTGCGTTTCCCAAATCGGAATCACCTTTAGCTAGAGCATCTGGTCAGCTGGCTACCCTCCTGCTTGCACCGTGGAGGGGCCTTCTTCTCCCGCCAGTCCCCTTTCCTGGATTTCTTTTCTTCACTCCTCATATCTGACTCAAAGGTGCTATTTACCAAACACACTCCCTCTCCTTCCAGCCAGTTCTGCTGCCTCCTCCTCCACTCTCCAGATTCCGAGCTGCCTTCCCAGATCCTGCTTCCAGTCTTTATCGCTTTAAAGCTAACTTGGGCCCACAAGCCCCAGGGCACAAGCCCCAGGGCGCCGATCGGCCTGTGGGTCCACACCAAGCTGTGAATCACTGCAGATCTTGTGCATGCGAACTGTTTGCAAACAGGCTCCTGCCTTTCCAGAAGCAGCTCCTGGTCTCATTTTCATGCTTCATTTTCTCCTTTTTGATGTTCACTTTAAAAATGACACCGCCCCCGGAGCTGGACTGTTGAGCAGGCCTGTCTCTCCTATCAAGTAAAAGTGAAAACTTCGTACATTTGTAAGCTATTCTGACAGAAAAGACAAAGGTTACTAATTGTATCATAGTGTTTTTATATGGAAGAATGTACAGCTTTATGGACAAATGTACACTTTTTTTTTTGTTACTTTAATAAAAATGTAGCAGATGAGTGTGGTATAGAGCAGGTGAAATCCCCCACAACACTAATTTGCCTTTCCCCAGGTCCTACTCTGCTGTCCCAGGACTTTACTGCTCAGGATCACAGGAACATCTAGGGTAGGGTGGGTGATGGCCAAGCAGCCAGTGCCCCCATCCCCGAACACACACATCCGGCCCTTGCCAGGCAGGCCTGGTTTCAGTTGTGCCAGGCACCAGCCACAGTGCAGGTGGTGAAGACAGTCACCACAGTGGGGGACCAGGCTGGGCTGGGGATGCTAGAAATGCCTGGGTAGACGCTCACCTGGGGCAGCCATTGCTGCCGGTGCCCCTGTCTGGGTGACCAGGAGGCTGCACCCCCAGTGAGCAGAGCCGCTCTTCCCAGCAAGCACTGAGATCTGCCAGCAACTTCTAACTCCCCTCGGTTAGACGAAAAGTAGGCAGTCTACCAACTCTGATTTGGGGGTTCTTCCCATGAGATTTGACACAGCTTTCCCACCCCAGTCCTGTACAGCTCCCACTGAAGTAGAGCATCTGACCTGGGCTCGTTTTCCTTTTGAACACAGGTGTGTCGTATTTAAGTTTTAAACATATTGACTGAACAGTTCCCCCTCCCCCCAACTCTCCCCCCCCCATGCACACTTTATTTCATTCGCCTGTGACACTCATCAGTACACACTGACTTAGGAGTACCAGGTGGGAGGCAGGGGAGGAGGGGCCTGTGTGGGGCATCAGAGGGAGGGGGTTCAGGAGACAGGGAGGGGAGAAGCCAGCTCATCTTCAGGGCAAATGGAGTTGGTTACAGGCTCCTATTTGTGTCAGATTTCATCAGAGCTTCAAACCGCAATGTGCTCCATTAAAAGGAATCACTTTTTTGGAGAGAGGACAGACAGAGCTTGAGATGAAGCCTGGTCCACCCTTGTGTGCTGTTCCCATATTTATTTATTTTAAAGATGTACTTATTTATGCATACGGAACTGGGGTGCTGGCCAGAGGTGCAGGGGCGGTGACAGGCTTCACCAGAGACAGAGTGAGGAGCAGAACAGGCAGATCGACAAAGTACACTGCTGAGGGGAGCAGCGGGCAAGACAGGAGAGGTCTGCCGCACCCTGTGGGACACCTCCAGGGCTGAGAATCGAACTTGCACTGAGGCGGCTGCGGCCAGCTTGCAGTGCTGTGTCCAAGCCCGTTGTGCCACCAGGGAGGGCTTGTTCCCTTATTTATTACATAGTCAGCATCTACTTCTTTCCCGATAGGCCCCACTCAGGACAGCTATTTCACTCTTGGTAAAAGTTATGAAGTTTAGGGAAGGTTGTCTGGAGGCCAAAGGGACATTGCCACCCACCTCTGTGTCTCCAGCCTGAGAAACCGGAGGGAGAATGACAAGATTCAGCTTCAGGTTGCTCTTGGTTCTCACTAGACTAGTGAGGGCTCACAGAGGGCTCTGTGAGCAAGCTGTGCATTTTCTACTTTGGATCTGACCAACTTCAGTTCCATCTGATCGACATCAGTAGGAGTAGAGAGGACCCTGGGGCCAGTATGGGACTGGGCAGGGACTGCTTGCAGTTTGTGTTATGGCCTCCACGTGTCCAGGGAGCAGACCTCCCTGGGGCTGTTCTTCCCTAGCTTCCCAGCCTGGTAAACAGGCTGACCTGGGAGATGGTGCTCATTCAGCTGTTTCTGGATGATAATGCACCTCCCTGGAGCTTGGACAAGGCCCTGGGAGCTGCTGATTAACAGTCCATCCTGCTTCCTGATAAGGAGGTTTGGGTGGGGGAGTCCTTGATGCTGTAGTAAGTCCCAGGAGGCAGAGCACACTTCAGAGTGTGACATCTGCTTCGATAGCAGACTTTGGCCAGGAAAGATAGTGAGGACTTGCCTTGCAGGCAAAGACCGACACCCCCAACCCAACAAGCATGTGCAGGAGAAAGTTCTGGGCTGAGAAGGAGGATGTATGGGTTATGGTCTGGGTTCTTCCAACTAGCTGTGTGAGTTTGAACAAGCCCCTCAATTTTCCTCTCTCAGAAATTAGGGGGTTGGATGAAATGACCTCTGTCCTAAATCATCTCCATTATCCTCACAATCACTGGAGGCCATAAATTAGCACAATTATTATCATTATTTTCAATTAGTTGAACTGAAAGGTCATTTGGGCTGGGAAGTTGGTGAATAATCTTCCCTTGCTTAGATCAGACTCCAGCCTGATAAGATTTCAGTTTGCAAATATAGAGCAGCCCTTGCTGCAAAGAGGCTGGGAGTGTGGGCTCGTGTCAGGTTTGGGATGACACTTTCCAGTAACAACTATACTTACCTCCCTTCTGCCCACCTGAGGAATCATCCTCACTTTCCTTTCCCAAGGGCTGAGAAGGGCAA